GCCCAGTGAGATCAGAGTAAAATCACAGGGCTGTGCAGTAAAGCCCAGTGAGATTGTGGTAAAATCACAGGACAGTGCAGTAACACCCAGTGAAATTGTGGTAAGATCACAGGACTGTGCAGTAACGCCCAGTGAGATCAGAGTAAAATCACAGGGCTGTGCAGTAAAGCCCAGTGAGATTGTGGTAAAATCACAGGACTGTGCAGTAACGCCCAGTGAGATCAGAGTACAGTAAGTAGAGAGGCACGACAAAGCATGTTCCCCATCATGTTTCATATTTCCTGAAAACCACGGTCTCTGTGGGAAGAGCCAGAAAAGGCGGATCTGAGGCAGAGAGGCACACAGGAAGTGCAAATATCCTCTCGGCGTGAGCCGGCCTGAAGCGGAGACGTGAATCTGTGCAGCTCGGGAGAGTGTTGGTCAGGCTGTGCAGACGTAGAGGGGAAAGACTCAGTTTTCACTGCAACACTGCGCTGCCTCGAGGTCCAAACTGTGTCTGACTTCTGTTTCCCTGCTCTGGCTCTGTCGGGGACCTCTCGTTAAATGTGGGGGGACCCTGGTTTTTCCCTGGGAACTTAAAATGGGTTAGGGTCACCAACCTGCAGCTCTTGGGGTCTTGGGGTACGATTCTGTCCCCGAGCACGTTCTGTGTGGAGTCAGCATGTTGTCGCCTTGATCACATGCGCTTTCTCCATGCGCTCCAGTTTCTCCCTGTTTCCCAAGGGCCTGGGGGCTGGGATACCAGCTGGATAACAGCTGGGGGTTGGTAAACTGGCCTTTACTAATCATGGCCTCCTAATAACCCCCCTCTCTGAACTGGCTTCATCACTCTGGTCTTCTCCACACTGAGAGCTGGTGTGTGTGAGCAGACTGGAGCATCATCCAGGTGGGGCTGCACACTGGTGCTGGTGGAGGGGATCCCCATTACCTGTAAAGAGCTTTGAGTGGAGTGTCCAGAAAGCGCTATTTACAGGTAAGGGATTATTACTGTATTTGTTATGAGGAGGCATCTCTTTGTTGTTCCTGTGTGGTGTAGCTTCTCCTTGCACTTACTTGCACTGTATATTTCCTGAACAGGCCCTGGGCTGGTTCAGCCCTCACCAGGAACTGTAATGTAGTGAATTATTTATTAACAAAAAAAGGAAACAAAACCTAACACTTTCTCCGGCCAGCTACTATGTGTCAGGAAGCTGAACCCATCCCCCCTTGAAAGGATCTACCAGTGCCGGGAAGCTGCAATCCAATAGGGGACAAGGAACTGTATGTAGTAATAAAAACAGGAGGCACGTCTTTACACAAAGGGTGGTGGGAGTGGGGAGCAAGCTGCCCAGCCATGTTGCTCAAGAAACAGAGATGGGGGGATCAATTAGCTACTAACTAGAAAACGTGGCAGGTGGATCGAGTGGCCTCTCCTTTCTAGCTAAACTGTAGCGGTTTTGATCAAAGTTGGAAATTACTGTAAATACTGTACATCAGGTTTTCCACCGCAGAACGTGTTCTAAAAGTCTCGTTTTCGCAGAGGCGACTGTGCGACACATTCAACACTCTCTCTCCGGTTTGAACCGCGGACTTCCCTTTCTCCCAGCCGGCGAGAGCGGTGGGTTACTAACGCCAGGCGCGGCGAAATCACGGTAAAGCGAGGTAGGACGGTGTAAATCACCGCCGGCAAAGCGCTCGGGACTGCAGGTCCAGAGCGAATCCGGTTACAAAACAAACCCTGGCGGGGGGTCGTTTAAACGCGAAACCGTGTTGTGGAGAGTCTACCTACCCCTGTCTGAGACGGTGCTCGGCGGCAGGCGGCTGACGAGACGGGGCGGAGCGGCCGGGAAATGAAGTGGCTGCGCTCGGCACTTTTAGGAAGTGAAACCTCTCAATCTGCGCTTTCGAAAATGACAGCTCCGTCCCGAAGAGCCGGGGAAATCGGGAGACCGCGAGCAGCGGGGCGCATAAACAGGACGCCCCGCCTCTTATCAGCCCAGCCGGGGGCGCTGGGGCAGTTAGATCACGAGCCCTTGGGAAGAGTGATACTGTATACCATCATATTTGACAGGCAAGGAGGACCAAAGTCTGACTCGAGCTGTCATTTAACCAGGGATTAGTCTGTGATGAATTAGCCCGTGTCAGACCAGAGGTCAGTCAGAAAGTGGGGTCCCCCAAGGACCTGGGTTGGGGACCCCCGTCCTAGCGGATGATTCCCAGTGTCGCACTCTGAGGTGACATTCACTCACCACTTTATCAGCAATTAGCCACTAATTAATCAATTAGCCTGCACTCACCTGGAACAACTAACCAGGAGACAGTGAGACAGGGAGGTGTCCCAAGGACCTGGGGTGAAAACCGGACACCCCTCTGCTCCAGGGACCCAGGACCTGAAGAAGGGGCATCACTTCGGGGAGGGGCATGTGAAAGCTAGGGGGGCTCGGGGGGCCGCTGGAGGCCCCTGCAGAAGTCTCTCGTGCCCGGGTCTGTCGGCCTGCTGCAAGGCACCCAACACCGTGAACTGCCTCCTCCTCTCAGTCTTAAACAGCTTTTCCTGCAGTTTCTGCTCCTCTGCTCTTACTCTTTCTGATTCTTGGTTTCCCGAAGGATGCTTTTCCAGTTTCAAGAATGTTCCAGCGTGGCAGGTTTCCTCCACAACCCTCAACACAAGGTACAGCACAGTTATAGTCTGGTAAAAGAGACAAACATCGCCCCCCGCTGGTCCCCCAAGGCAGAAGTCAGTTTGTTGCAAATGAACATCTCGTCTTCCAGAGAGGCCTAACACTACAGCTCTTCCATCAGTCCATGATCAGCAGCTGCTCTCCAGGAGTCTTCTCTTCCAGATGTTTTCATTTCTGTTATCACCAAAAAACTAAGCTTCAGGAGC